TTTACCAAAACTTGGCATTTTTCAACTTTATTTTAGTCATTTGGGAAGGAGTTCAGATTTCCTTTTCTATACTTTTTTTTTTTTAAGTAACTTTATCAAGATATAATTTACATATGGTAAATGCACTAATTTTATGTATAGGAGTTTTGACAAATGTATACATCTGTGTATTCACCACCCCAATGAAAATAAAAAGAAATATTTCTGTCATCCCAGTACCTTTTCTCAGTCTCCACCTATGCCACCATTGATGAAATTTCTGTCACTATAACTTAGTTCTTGCCTGCTCTCAAATTTTGTATAAATGGCATATAAGTACAATAATGTTCTATTTTATGTCTGGTTTTCTGTCACTTTAAAGTTTTGGAGCTTCATCCATGTTGTTGCATTTATCCCATAATTTCTTCCTTTTTTGTTGAGAAATACTGGGTTTCCAGTATATTTTTATGAAAAAAGTTATTATTTATGTATAAGTCATAATAGACCTGTTTTTTATTTCTCTTGGGTAAATAGGAGTGGAATTGCTGGATCATATGTTAAGTGAATGTTAGACTTATTTATAAGAAAAGCACCAGTGTTCCAGAATGGTCATGTTTTATATTTCTGCCAGCAGTGTGTGCGAGTTCCTGTTGTTACATATCCTTTCCAATACTTGGTACACTTAATCTTTGTCATTTTAGCTACTAGTAGGTGTGGTTTATTTTACATTTCTTACGGGCCTATTGGCCATTTTTATATCTTTGGGATGCACGTTCAGATCTTTGCCTTTTATTGGTCGTATTTTGGATCATAGGCCTTTTCCATAAGATTTTTCTACTTTATCCTGTTAATGTATGTTTTATATTGATTTTGTTGTTGTTGTTGTTAGGCCAACCTTGAGTTCCTGGAAAAAACCTCACTTGGTCATTGTTTATTATCTTTTTAATAAATTGCTGAGCATTACCATTATCCCAAAGTTTTCTTCAGAAACTTCTCTTTTATCCTGGCCCCCTCCTCTATACCAGTGTCAACCACTGTTTTGATTTTTCTTTTTTGACCACAGATTAGTTTTGCCTCTTCCAGAACTTTATATAAGGAGAATGAAATATGTACTTTCTTCTCTCTGGCTTCTTTCATTCAGCATGTCTTTCAAATTTATCTGGATTGTGTATACCAATGATTTATTCCTTTTTATTACTCAGTAGTATTCCAAGGTATGAATATACAATTTGTGTTTATTCCTATTGAATAGTTTTTGGCAATTATGAATAAAGCTGCTGTTAACATTCTTGTATGGGCCTTTTTAGAGACATATATTTTAATTTCTCTTGGATAAATACTAGGGACAATTGTTGGATTATACAGATATAATGTATGTTTACTTATTAAGAAACTGCCAGACCTTTTCCCGTAGCATTAGTACCATTTTATCCTCCCATCAACAATGTATGAGAGCATTGGTTATTTTATATTCTTGCCAACATGTGATATTGTCAATTAATTTTACCCATTCTGGTGGGTGTATAGCCTCTCGTTGTGGTTTTGTGTTTCCCTGATGAATAATGAGCTTTATGTGCTTATTGATCATTAGCATATCTTTCTTTGTGAAGTGTCTATTGAAATCGTTTTTGCTTGCTTTTTGAAATTGCCTTTTATTACTTGTGTTTTTTAATTTTGAGTTCAGGAGTTTTTTAAAAAAAAAAGATTTTATTTATTTATTTGAGAGAGAGAATAAGCAGCGGGGAGATGGATAAGCAGGCTCCCCACTGAGTTGGGAGCCCCACGCAGGGCTCAATCCCAGGACCCTGGGAGCATGACCTGAGCCGAAGGCAGATGCTTAGCTGACTGAGCCACCCAGGCACCCCTCTAGGAGTTCTTTTTACAGTCTGGATACAAGTCATTTGTCAAATACATGTTTTGCAGATATTTTGTTTTCTTAACAGTGTCTTCTGATCAGAAGTTTTAATTTTGGTTAAGTCTAATTCACCATTTCTTTATTTGATGTTTATTCCTGTATAAGCCCTAGAAACCTTTGCCTACCACCAAGTTATGAAGATAGTGTTTTGTTTTCTTCTAGGATATTTAGCTTTTTCATTGAGTCTGTGATCCACCTTGAATTAATTTTGGGATATGGTATGAGAGAAAGGTTTTTTCCTTCTATAAACCATTTGTTTATTATAGATAAAATACTTTTACACTGAATTGTTTTGGGAATTTAATTATTTAAATTAAAATGACTATAGATGTGAGGATCTGTATTTGAGCTCTCTATTCTTTACCACTGATCCGTTTGTTAATCCTTATGTCAATACCACTCTGTCTTGATTACTCTGACTTGTTTTATCTTCTTCCAACTTTGTATTTCTTTAAGAATACTTTGGCTAGCAACAACTTCTTCCTAGACACATCATCAGAAGCAAGGGAAGCAAGGGTAAAAATGAACTCTTGGGACTTCATCAAGATAAAAAGCTTCTGCACAGCAAAGGAAACAGTCAACAAAACCAAAAGACAGCCGACAGAATGGGAGAAGATATTTGCAAATGACATATCAGATAAAGGGCTAGTATCCAAAATCTATAAAGAACTTATCAAACTCAATACCCAGAGAATAATCCAGTCAAGAAATGGGCAGAAGACATGAACAGACATTTCTGCAAAGAAGACATCCAAATGGCAAATAGACACGTGAAAAAGTGCTCAACATCACTTGGCATCAGGGAAATCCGAATGAAAACCTCAGTGAGATACCACCTCACACCAGTCAGAATGGCTAAAATTAACAAGTCAGGAAATGACAGAAGTTGGTGAGGATGCAGAGAGAGGGGAACTCTCTTACACTACTGGTGGGAATGCAAGCTGGTGCAGCCACTCTGGAAAATAGTATGGAGTTTCCTCAAAATAGAGCTACCCTACCCCCCCAGCAGTTGCACTACTGGGTATTTACCCCAAAGATACAAATGTAGTGATCTGAAGGGGCATGTGTACCCCAATTTTATAGCAGCAATGTCCACAATAGCCAAACTATGGAAAGAGCCTAGATGTCTATTAACAGATGAATTGATAAAGAAGACGTGGGGTGTGTGTGTGTGTGTGTGTGTGTGTGTGTGTATATACACACACACACAGTGGAATATTACACAGCCATCAAAAAATGAAATCTTGCCATTTGCAATGATGTGGATGGAACTAGAGGGTATTAGGCAAAGTGAAATAAGTCAATCATGAGAAAAACAAGTATATGATCTCACTGATATGAGGAATTTGAGAAATAAGGTAGAGGATCGTAGGGGAAGGGAGGGAAAAATGAAACAAGACAAAACCAGAGAGGGAGACAAACCATAAGAGACTGTTAATCTCAGGAAACAAACTGAGGGTTTCTGGAGTGGAGGGGGGTGGGAGGGATGGGGTGGCTGGGTGATGGACATTGGGGAGGGTATGTGCTATTATGAGCACTGTGAATTGTGTAAGACTGATGAATCACAGACCTGTACCCCTGAAACAAATAATACATTTTATGTTAATAAAAAAAGAATACTTTGGCTTAGGTTTTTTGTATTCCCATATAAATTTTAGAATCAATTTGTGAATTTCTGCAATTAAAACTGGTGGTATTAATTCAATTTTTGAAATAGAGATAGGTCTATATATTTTTTTTCATATTTTTTTCTTTGATAAATTTTTTTTAAAGATTTATTTACTTCAGAGAGTGTGCCTGAGGAGGGGGAGGGGCAGAGGGAGAGGGGAAGCAGACTCCCCACTGAGCACAGGGCTTGATCCCATAACCCCAGAGATCATGCCCTGAGCCAAAATCATACACTTAACCAACTGAGCCGCCCAGGTGCCCCTAATAAATTGTTTTTTCAAAATATTTGTCCATTTTATCTAAGTTGTCAAATTTATTTACATAAAGTTACTTATAATCTTTATTATCTTTTTAATTCCAGTGGTATCTTATATTAGTTATCTATTGCTTTGTAACAGATTATCTCTAAGCAATGGCTTAAAACAATCTGTTTATTGTCTCATAGTTCCTTTAGGTCAGGCTTCACTGAGTTATTGCTTATGGGTGCCCCTGGCTCAAGTCTCCCACACTGCTGTAATCAAGGTTCAGCCAGGACTGTAATTGTTTCTGATCCTGACTTGGAGAGGATCCTTGTCCAAGTTCACCCATATAGAATACTGGATCAATAGCTTTTTTTCCTTTCATCGAATTAAAGATGTTGTTCCACTGTCTTTTGGCTTTCCCTGTTTCTAATAAGCTAGGTGTTTTCATACTGTGTTGTATTTCTTTCAAGATGCTTTCAAGATTTTCTTTTGATGTTTGGTTTTTAGCAGCTTGCTCATTATGTACCTAAGTATGGCTTTCTTTAGATTGATCTTTGGAGTTTGCTAAAATCTTTATATCTTCCACCAGATTTGGGGAATGCTTGGCTATTGTTTCTTTAAATATTTTTGTCTGCCATATTTCTAACCTCTCCTTCTGGTCCTCTCAGTTACACTTATGGTAGACCTTTTGATATTATCTGATAAGTCCCCGTGGCAGAATTTTTTTTCAATCTTTTCTTCCCTCTGTTCAGTTTAAAATTTCTATTCATTTATCTTCAGTTTTACTGATTCTTTTCTGGCTGTTAAATCCATCCGGTGAATTTTGTTTTTTAAATATTGTATTAAAAGTTCTTGAACTTCTATTTTGTTCTTTTTCATAGTTTCTTTTCCCTGAGCTTATTTTTCAGTTTATTCTGAACATTTTTTATTGTTGCCAGAGACATAGTTTTAACACTTGTTTTTAATATCATTGCTAATTTCAGCATCTGGGTTATCTTCAGTGTTGGTCTCCATTGTTTTTATCACATCATTTTGATTAGTTCACAACTGACAGCAAGAATCCAACATCACATTAAAAACTATGTATCATCACTGTAAAATTTTTGTATACATTCTCTCCCTTTTCTCCTTGTGATTTCTAGCAATGACCTTTTAAAAAATGGATGTTTTAACATGATCTCTGTTGTCTTTTGCAGGGCATCTTCTCTGCATTCAGTTTCATCCAAGTCATTCCGGGATTTCTTAGAAGAAAAAAAATCTATTACTGGAGATCATGTCAAAAAAGTTTGTTTTAAAGGAGTAGAAAATTCCCCGGCTCCAAAAGTTGAAAGGTAATAAGTTAAACATTTTTTTACCTTAAGAAGTTCTGTATTGGTTTTACATTCTGAAATAACCTTTAAAAATTTATCAGGCAGAGTTTTACATTCTTTTACATTCAAAATTAACATGTCTATTTTTTTGTAGCTTTATTGTGGTATAATTGTCTTACAGTAAACTATATAAATCTGAAGTGTACAGTTTGATGTTTTGGCATATATATGCACCTGTGAAGCCATTACTAGCTACATTCAAGACGATGACTATAACAATCATTCTCAGAAGTTTCCTCATGCCCCTTGGTAATCTCTTCCTCCCTTCCCCGTTTTAGTCTCTATGCAGCTACTAATCCTCATGTCAGTAGAGACTATGTTGTATATTCTAGTTTTATACCTATAGGATCATTTAGTCTGTACTTTTAAAAAATTCTGTTTTACTCAGTAGTTTTTGATTCATCCAAGTTGCTATGTGTATCATTAGTTCATTCCACTTTATTGCTTAGTAGTATTTCGTTGTTAAAAAGCAACCCATATATCTGCATCTGTTGATGGACCTTTGGGTGTTTCCAGTTTTTTCTCTAGCCGTTTTACATGCTAGTTTTTAAAGTTCAATATATTTTAAAAGATGTTTCATATTTTAAATGCCTACCTGGAACATGAAAAATCTAAACATAATTTAAAAGCAATTTTCTAATAAAAGTACCTTTTCTGCCATGTTATGTAAATTCTCTTAATCATTGTACAAAAAGGATCATTCTTGGAGCATTAGATAGTCCAGTGTTGGAAGAAAGAACTGTGTTTCAAGTTGGTTGGCTAAATGGGTTTTTTTTTCTTATTTCTGCTAATATGACGTCTCCCAAAGATATTAAACCCTAAAGTATTTTAGACAAAACAAAAATGTAATTAAATGTAATTAAAAATGTCAGCTGTGACCAGATTAATATCATTTTACATAATGATAAAGCTCTTTTAACACTATTTGTTAAACCTTTTCCCCCTAAACCGTTTTTAATGTGAAATCTTATGTCTAATTCCAATATTATCAAACAGGTTAGTATAAATTTCTGTGATTGTACCAAGAAGAGGGTTCTGGGAACCATACTATAGTTTAACCTTATCATATCTGCCCTGTAAGCAACTCCAGAGGAACTGTCAGTCTTCTAACAACAACATTGGAAATTACTGGTTTAGATGAACTCTAAACATTTTCATTGTTGATATTGTGTGACTGGCTGCCTTATTAGAATGTACAGTTGGGACCAAAGATCTTGAGCCATTTACTTACAATATGGAAAATCGGAGATCAGAAAGAATCTGAAGAAATCATTTGGTCTATCTCCCTATCTTTGTGAAAACTTTTATAAGTGGAATACTATAAAAGTCTTAAATGTTACTCTACCATATCAAATAGATAAACTTTTTATATGCTTACTTATGAAAAAGTGAGAATATTAAGGCTGTTAGGGTCATAAATACAGAACTGGATGTGATGTAAGACATTTGTAGTCTTAAAATTGACAAATATTTAGAGTTACAGTGATAAAATTAACATAGCCCCTGCCCGTAGAGAACACACAGTCCAAAAGAGAAGAGAAACCTTACACAAGTAATTAAGTATATAAAACATGATGAAAAATTATATCAGCCTCAACATTTATTTCAGCATTTATTTTAATTGTCTAATATTAAGAAAATTCTGACTGAATAGTTATGATTTAAGATTCTCTCAGAGCATACTTCATTCAAACAAAGATGGCAGAAGAAATTTTCTTCTTGAATTGATATAGAAGTGAATTAACCTGGCAACAGAAGTTAACATACCAGTGATCATCAATGTATTAAAAGTATTTGAATGCATATTTTTTTATTAGTTTCAAAATGTATTTCAGAAAAAAAGTACTAACAAAGTTTGGTGAACATTTTATGACACACTGAAAATGACTGAACCTAAACAATGTAAAACTATTCAGTATTTTGTAAGTTGTATTCTTAAAGATGTTGAGGGAAGGGCATTTTATTCCATTCCTAAGTGACAGGTAGGCTTTTAAGTGTTGTTAAATTCTCACAGTAAAAATGTTTATTTTCAACTTCTTTTGAGTGCCACTGTACACATACACATGCATTTATGTTTATATATTTATTTCATGAATGTGTCTATTATGTACATAATTCTAAACAAATGTTTTAAAAGTCTGTACATCTCATTACGTTTTTTGATTCCAAATTTTTTTAGAAATTAAAAAAAATTGATTGTTATACTCTGTAATGATCCTGCATCTATCACAATATTTTTAAAAATTGAATATAGTCTTTTTATTGTTATAAGAGAAACATAAGAATACCACTGGTTTTTGTAAGTTGTGTGATAAGTGATATAGACCAGGCTTTTAAATAGAAAGACATGTAACTTCCTTATTTTCTTACTGTGAAACACAAATCTGCATCTATTTTTATTCATTTTTTTTCCTTTCTTGTTTTGCATTGGAAGAGTTATTTTTCCTATGGTTAATATTTATACCTGTGCTGGTATCTTCATTCCTTTCCACTTTAAATGCCTTAAGCTATTAATTATCCTTCTCTTTTCTTGTGGATATTCAGCCTTGTCCTTTTAGGTGGATACCTCCCATCTGGTTTTGTATATGTGTTAGAGCTCTCTCATGTGATCTGGGTGAGGTAATGAATCCCTCAGTCATCCCCCACACTTTCTTCTAACAGTTGTCCTATCATTACCAATCCCCCACTCCCTTCACAGCCAGATTTCTCAAAAGAGCTGTCAGCTCCCAATCACTTCTTAATCCAGTCTGGCTTCCAGTCCCATTACTAAACTGAAATAGTTCAGGCTAAGTTCAGCAGTGACCTCCATATTGCCAAAACCATGAACTTTTTATATGACTCATTCTACTTGAAGTTCAATTACAGTCATCTTCTCATTTCCCTTTATATTCTTTCTACACCATTTCATGAGCTTCTATTTTCAGTTATCACCTATACACTAAAGCCTCAAAAATTATATTGCCTGCCCACAACTATCATCTGAGCTTCAGACATACTCAGGTGTCTTTTTCATAACTCCGTCCTACTTGGATGTTCAGAAATATTTTAACTTTGTCTAAAACCAAACAATGTTTTCCTCAAACCCCTTTCATAAAATCAAACAAAAATACAAAACACCCCATTCTTCCTGATTTTTTCTTCCTGATTTACCCAAAGAAAACAAAAATATGAATTCAAAAAGATATATGCACCCCTATATTTATTGTTTTTTTACAATAGCCAAGATATGGAAGCAACATAAGTGTCCGTCAATAGATTAATGGATAAAGAAGAGAGAGTGACAGTGTGTGTGTGTGTGTGTGTGTGAGAGAGAGAGAGAGAGAGATGGAATATTACTTAGTCATAAAGAATTAGATCTTGCCATTTGTGAGAACATGGATGGACCTAGAGGGTACTATGCTAAGTGAAATAAGTCAGAGAAAGACAAATACCATGTAAGCCTGCTTCTCCCACTCCCCCTGCTTGTGTTCCCTCTCTCGCTTTCTTTCTCTCTGTCAAATAAATAAAAAAAAAGATTACTGTGATCTTTCACCTGGGCCACCTGAGTAGCCTCCTAACTGGTCTTGGCATAACCTATCTTCCTCTCCAATATACCAAGCCAGTTATGTTCTTTTTTGAAATGGCAGGTCTTACTGTTCTTAGGGTAAAAGAATTCTTATCTGGACTTTAAGGCCTGCATAGTCTGTTTTCTTCCAACCTCTTACCTTTCTCTTTTAACATCTCTGGATTCTCGTTATCTTCTTCTCTCAGTTTCTCAAATGCCATTTACTTCTTGCCACTTACCTCCCCTTTGACTAGTTCACTCTGATTCTTCTTTCAGTCTCTATTCAGTCATATTCTTTGGAGAAGTCAGACTTCCCTTAGTGGGTCAGTTTTCTATGATATGTTCCCATAGCACTTCTCACTCCTCACACTTTTCACAGTTATTATTAGTGTGATTCTTTGTTTAATGTTTTCAGCTACAAATATTTTAATATCTATGTATCTAACATATGTTCAGTGAAAGCATAGAAGAGAGTCATCTCAATGAGAGATTGATCTCTGCTCCTCAGTGAATTACCAATGCTTAGAATATTTTCAGTGAGAACAAGATGAATAAATGAGGTAAAACTGTAGCTGTTTCAGGTAAGATTTGTTTCTAATGAGTAAGTTATAGTGTATGCCTTAAGTGTGTAAATTGTAAGGCATGAGTATTAAGTTCATTTCTGTAGTATTTTTACATTTTAAATATTAACACTATAGATTGAAATTTTCTTATTTGTATAAGTCTGTCTTACAATATTGAAGATCTGTGGTTTCATAGTTGATCACTAGAGTGTGCTATAACATTAAGGCTCTTAATTGTGAAAAGTGGCTTCTGCTATTACACTGGTTTGGAAATTGTAAAGGAGTGTATAATAATATACAATATTATACAGGAGTATTATAATGGTATACACTATAATACAGGAGTATTATAAAGGAGTGTATAATAGTGTCATGCCATCCATAGATTGGCTGTTCGGTAAGTGGAAGTAAATGTTTTAAATAGCTGTATATTATCACTGATCACTGTATAATATATGATGACTGAGAATGGAAACAGCTTGACTTTCATTTTTAATTTCATTACAGAAAATGTGAAATCATAAGAGAGCTTTTTTAAAAAGGAAATAATAAAACAAAGTAAAATAGTAATTCACCAAATTACATATGCACAACATTCTGCTGGCCTCTATTAGGTGTATACATAAAAGTGTTAAATACAGGCCTAGTCCCTTAAATGTATTTGAAATATCTAGTTGGTAAGTCTAAATGAGCACACATGAAAGTTAAATGAAAAGTAAAGAGTGAAATTGTAATACAGTGTAACAGTATTAAGTCACAAGCAGTATATGATTTAAATGCCAGGTGAGTGGTTCAGAGAGGGGAAAAAATGAGTGTGGATTGGAATTGTCAGGAAAAACCCACCTGAAGAAGGGCTTGAGTAATAGTTCATAAACACTTTCTTATTCAGTGCCAAATATTTGGTCATTATATGTACGGTCATATAAACAGTATTAGAAAAATACTGATCTATTGCCACAAGCTTTTGAACATAGGATGAGATTTTTAAGAGAGGAGAAGTGTAATAGAGGCAGTGTAAATAGAGGTAATAGAATTATAGCTGGAAGACAAATGCTGTGGTCCTTTAGAGAATTTGTGTGGCAAGTGTAATGGAGTTCATCTTAGGAAATTCCTCAAATCTTATATTCTTGTTTTAATTGTAGAAAATGTGATTTTTTTTTTTTTCTCTCAAGGCTAGGGAAATCCAGGAATGGCAATGTTATTTGGGGATATTAAAATGCAGAAAAGAGGGATTTGTGGAATTTATGTGTTTATTGTTACTTATGTGTTCTTTTTCATTTTCATGTGTTTTCTTTCATTTTCCTTCCACTTAAACACCCCTTTATGTAATTCTGGGCAGAAACTGATCTTGTGTTTCTTACTGGTAAGGAAAACTACTTGTGAGACAAAAATTATATCAGCTCTAAACTTACATAAAAATCTTTGTAATTAAGCTAATATAGAATTCCTTAAAAAGTTAAAAGTCAATGGTACGAGTAAGAAGTAATTTAGTTATTCTCAAAGCCTAAATTTGGTAAGATTAATGTTCAGTTTGAACAAAAATCTCTGAAAGAGGATTTTATTTTTGCCAGCCTTTTAATATTGCTTTTATTTTCAGAAGGCCAATTTTTATCACAGATTGTCTATTGAGAGGTCTGTTTCTGTGTTGCAAATACCTGTATTTATTGTCTGAAAGCTTAGTATGTTTTTGGTATTTGTTTAATCATAGCTCTATTTAATAGTTTTACTTCATTCTAAGATGAAATTTTCATGGACTTTCAGTTGTTTGGATACATTTATAACTAATGAGATTATCCACTGAAAAATCATTAATGGAAAGACTTCTGAGATTACAATCTTAGAAAACAGATTTGAGTTTCAGTCTAACACAGTAGCCCTCTGTGAACCTTTCTGAACCAGATTCATCACATCTGAAATAAGAACAATAATGTCTATCATAAGGCTTATATCTGACAGCATATATGGAAGTACCTTATAAATTATAAAATGTTATACAGGTAAATTGTTATACTTAAGCTCTGATTGCTCAACTGTGATTTAACAAGGCCTATATAAGATATTTTAGTCCTGATACTCAATTTGTTTTAGCCAGTACCATACCATTTTCACAGACAGCTTGTAGCTGCTGCTTCTTACTTATTAACAATTGATTCTACAATATTTTTCCATTTCTTTGAAAGTGTCAAAATTTTTAGCCAATCCCAGATACCGGGGAGGGATTTTTGAGCACCACTCAAGTCATTCATTTAACTTTTATGTGTGCTCATTTAGACTTACCAACTAGATATTTCAAACACATTTAAGGGACTGGGCCTGTATTTAACACTTTTATGTATACACCTAATAGAGGCTAGCATATTATGCTTTAGTGCCCTAGAAGGCCTCTAATCTCTAGCCTCGGACTGACTTTAAGACCTTTTTTTTTTTTGTCTTTTTCTTTTCTTTTCTCTTTTCTTTCTTTTCTCTTTCTTCCCCTTCCCCTTCCTTTCCCCTTCTTCCCCTTCCTTTTCCTTCCTTCCTTCCTTCCTAGGACTTTTCAAGGAACTTAACCATGGGAATTTGCATTTAGTCTCTGCCTAAGGTAGCTCTCTCTTCCATCAGAATGTAGAATTTTTTTCCATTTATTTTGTAGTTATTCTAGTCTAGATTCTGTTCGTCTTGTAACATTTATTCCAGTAACTTTCTAGTTCATCTCCTTAGCTTCATTTTTCTCTTGGCTAGAAGTCTTCTACTTCATTCTGGGGACTTCTCTTATTTTGGATGTTGTATGTCAAGCATCCAGTAGATTTCAAGTCCTAGAACTTAAAACTAAGAACATATAACTATACTATTTTCACTTCATTCAGTACCTAAAATCTAGAAGAAAAAAGTTACCAGTAATTCAGAGGAATGAGGAACTTAAAAAGAAAAAAAAAACCTGCTTTTATTTCACACTTAAAATCCTTTGGCTTTCTGATTCTGTTATTTATTCTTTAATTCTGTTTTTACAAACAACTGTGTTCCAGGTGTTCCTGTTGGACACATGAATGAGACACAGTGCTGTACCTTGAGAGACTAGTCTAGCAGTTAAGACAGATGTGCAAACAATAACAACACGGTGTGGGAAGCTCTGTAATAGTAGTTCAAGTGCTGTAGGAGCAGAGAGAAGGTGGCATTTGAGCCAGTCCTTAAAGAATATGAAAACATTTGTAGTAGAATGTATTCTAAACTAAGGGAAATAATAGAAATAAAGGCAGGTTTGTGATAATGGAAAACATACTGTCCTCTGAGTGAAAAAGATCTGCTTTGAGTTCTGTTTCTGCTACTTCCCCAACCTGTGAGTCAGACAGTTATATATATATATATAATATTCTTTGAGTCTAAATTCCCTAATCACTGTAATGTAAATACTACATGCTTTATAGAGTATTGGAAAGATTAAATGAGGTAATATATATGAAAATACTCTCAATAAATTTATTTGTCCATACATCAAGTCTAAACATTTTAGCTTTCAATGCACTTTGTACTCTGGCCCTACTGGCTCATTTTAATTTTATTTCTCTTTTAATCTCTTCCAAATTCTTAATCCTATCATTCTATTTATTGAAAAGAACAGCCTATCTTTACTTAAGCCACCAAAGTCTTTTACCATTTCATGTATTTGTACAACTAAAACCCTACTTCAGTGTCACTCTCCTCAGCTTTAATGCCATTTCTTCAGTGAAGCCAACAGCATATGCGCACATGTCAATTTCTCCTGTGAATCCATACTAGTTTATGCAAATTGGTACAAGTATCAATTGTTTTATCTCACATTGTTTTATCATTCTTTATAAATAGATTTTTAAATCTCTCCCCTCAGAATTATTAGAGGTAAGGGACTGAATTTTGTTTTTATGTTCAGTTAGCCAGTGTATAATGTATCATTAGTTTTTGATGTAGTGTTCAGTGATTCAATACTTGTGTATAACACCCAGTGCTTATCACAACACGTGCCCTCCTCGATACCCATCACCCTGCTACCCCATCCCCCTGCTGCCCCTCCCCTCTGAAACCCTCAGTTTGTTTCCCAGAGTCCATAGTCTCTCATGGTTCATCATCCTCTCTGATTTCTCCCCTTTCAGTTTTCCCTCCTAAAGGGACTAAGTTTTAATCAGCCTGATTTTCAGCACCATAGTGCTACACATACCTAGTCACTCCACAAATGATCCATAAATGAATCAGGAAGTCAATAGTTTAGACCCGGTTTGTTCATTCTTTGACTTTCTGTTAAACCTGCCTAAGCCTAAATTTGCTCATTCCTGAAAGAGGGCATTTGATTAATCCAGATAATTTCTAGGTACTTTTCTAGCTGTAAAATTCCACAATTAGGCCAGTCTCTGTAGTACCTTTGTTAAGTTTTTCCCTTACAGGAATACTTCCTAATCCCTCATCCTACACCTCTTTTATTGTCTTCCCCATGAGGCTCTCTCAAATGACCAAATCTTTTTTTATTTTAATAGTCCTTATTAGTGTCTTAAATTATATTTTCTGCTGTACTTCATTTTATATATTGTTTCCTCATTTTGTGAGTTCTTAGAACATAGAAATTATATCTTATATTACCATCCTATAATCCCTGGCTTAGCAAAATATTTACTATATTAGTTGCTCACAAAATTTGGCTGCTAATTATCCAGTTTGTATGTATTTTGAAACTTAGTGCTAATTTTTCACTTTTATTCATAAACTTATTAATGTAAAACTTTATATACAAAGCTTTCTGTATTTCCTAATGTATGTTTGAAAATAGTAAATGGTTCTATGATTATTAGAAAAAATAGACCATTTCTTGCAAGATCTTCCTCTACGGTATTTTATACACAGGATTTTTAAAAAAAGATTTTTATTTATTTATTTGAGAGAGAGAGCCCGTGTACACACACAAACGGGGGAGGGGCAGAGGGAGAGGGAGCAGACTCCCCACTGAGCAGGGAGCCCGGATGTGGGGCTCGATCCCAGGACCCTTAGATCCCAGACCCTTAGATCTGAAGGCAGACGCTTAACTGACTGAGACACACAGGCATAGGTTTTTTTTTTACTTAAAATTTTAAAGGTAAGTCTGACTGCACACATTAACTTGTATCCTAAGTCAGGACTTAAAATTCTTCCTCTGTATTTCTGTTAATAAACAGTTTTACTAATATTAGTAGAAGTTTTAATCTCCACTTTTGGCATTTGTTTTGTAGATTTTCAGATTTACCACTTATAGACAGTCACAAGTAAGGCTAATTGATTAGCTTTGGAGCCTCCAAAGCTAGGCTGTTGTTTAGCAGTGAAAGATAATATTAAAAATTGGGAGTAGTATATTGAATAGAATGAGTTTTCTGACTACTGTCTGCTCCACAGTTTGAATTACTTTTCTGTTTGGTTATATCATTTCTGCTCCATCCATCCTTTTGCTGTTTTCTAAAGTTTTCTCTACAACACTGATCCAAATAAAATATTAGCTCTCCTTTCCTGTTTCTCACCTCACCATTCTGTAAAGAGAATGCACAAGCTTCCAAGTCCCTTTATATTGTAGGTCACTGGGGGGAAAAATGTAACACTGTTGAAGAATATTTCAGAGGAGAATTTATATGCAAAAATTTGGGAAGATGAATGAGAACTCATGTTACTATTCTTTCAGTCCCTGGCTGTCTTCTTCATTGACTGCTCCTTCCATGGTAGCCCCAGTCACTTTTGCATCTATTGTAGAAGAAGAACTACAGCAGGAAGCAGCTCTTATCAGAAGTCGAGAAAAACCCTTGGCTTTGATTCAGGTAAGTAATGTGCCTTTATGGACTTAATTTAGAGAAGAACTATACTACATTTCATCTTAAGAAAATTATGTTTATTTTCATCACAGAGGTGTATATATTTATCACGTTAAAATGTTACATAAAACTAAATTGAGGCACTCAAAAGTATTAATTGAAGGAATTCAGGATAATTAATTTAGACTAAATTGTCACAAGGCTTTTTTTTTTTTTTTTTTTAAGCACTAGTGATGCTTTGGACTATTTTAGTTTTTAAAAATGATCAATGGGGCACCTGGGTGGCTCAATCCGGTTAAGCATGTGACTCTTGATTTTGGCTCAGGTCATGATCTCAGGGTCATGAGATTGAGCCCCCTTTCTGGCTCCACACTGGGCAGTGAAGCTTGTTTAAGTTTCTCTCTCTCCCTCTCCCCCTCCCACCACACTTGTGCATGCTCTCTAATTAATAAATAAATAAATAAATAAAAAAGAATAAAAGTGATCAATAATGAAGTCGGCATTATCTAGTGTTTCTGTATCAGTAAGTGTTCTTAGGTTGTAAGCCACAGATACCAACTTTGGCTAACTTATGGAAAAGAGAAATTATTAGAGGGATATTAAAATTCCACAGATTTAGTTGAAGGACCAGGGAGCCAGGCTTGGAAACAGATAAGACCGATAGTTGCCCTGAAGAGTTAGAAGACTTGTATAGCAGAAAGTATCTCACTGAAGTTATTGGAATGAATGGATTCCAACAACTATTTTCAGGGTTTTTTTCTTTCTGCACAAGATTAAAATTCAAGAGAGGGCGGGCATCTGATTATTCTTCAGGCTTTAAGCCTTCTACTTGCCATGGGGATAGCAGGATACCTAATTTAATTCTGCTGCATTGTATTCATAGAAAGTGGGACTTCTGCAAAAGGAAACTGGAAAGCTAATATAATCCTGCTAAAAGATTAAAGCAAGTTTTTTTTTTCCACCCTTTTTTCAGATTGAAGAGCGTGCGATACAAGATTTATTGGTTTTCTATGAGGCATTTGGCAACCCTGATGAGTTTGTCATTGTTGAAAGGACACCACAGGGACCACTAGCAGTACCTATGTGGAATAAGCATGGATGCTAATTTGCTGTGGAGTTGAAATGCATTTTTCATAAATCATGATTGTTATAAAGCAGAGTTATGGAAAAGAGTTCTTACAAATTTGGTAATATCGTTCTAGATAGAGTAAGAAAGGATCTAATTTCTTTAGTGCAGTATAGGTATATAATGTTTGTATGATTAAAAACAAATGCCACAGAATTGTGATTTTTAGTAACTTTTTATGTAAAACTGTGTAAGAGGAAAAACTTACTAGGTTAAAAATTTAAGTAGAATTATTTCTCCTGAACAGTCTGAAAAGGAAAACATGAGTGATTGAAGTATAAAATTTAAGTGTGAGGCATTAAAAATAACTTTCCATTTGAGAATTTGGGATAAATAAGAAGATATTGCCAAATATCTGTTGTCACCCCTTTTTTTTTTATATATATATGATATCGATGAACTTAAAGTAGGAGCATCAGCCATTACTTCTGATCCATTAATGGCCAAAATTTTATGTTTGCAATAGTAGTTGTTTTCATTCTTGCGTCTTTTTTGATCAGGCCATCAATGTTCTAGATCTATTTAAAGCATGGACTGCTCAAATGCCATATTATTTCAATTTGTACGCACATTTTGCATTAAACTACAGAGTACAGTGAAAAGAGAATGTGAATACTATTCTGAAGCTTTTGTCCAAGATAATGGTTCTTTTATTAAATTTGGAGTCATTGTGTGTTGTTTTTTTGGTGGGGAGGGAAGACCTCATAAAAGCCTGATTATGAGAGAATCAATTTCTCAAAATATGAAAATTTTCCAAAATAAATGCTTAATTATACATACAAGAATTCAATAGTTTTGAAGACCCTTTACAATATTATGTAATCAGAAGTTCTCTGAGCCTGAGTTATATGAATAGACATAAACATTGTTTTCTTTACAGTATGCTATTTGAGTTTTGAGTGGTTAAATTTTTTAAAAACAAATGTTAAACCTGTGCTCCAGTTAACTAGACAAATTGGGAAGGTTAATGTTCTAGTTTCTGAAACATAATCCTAGGGAAACATATAGGCTATTCACTGCTGTAATTCAGGTGATTGAAATATGGCTGAAACTAACTTAATACTAGAGGTTTAGCTCTACCTAAATTTGTAAGCAAATGTGCAATAAAAAATAATCCTGATCCATTCTACTGTTAATGTGTATTTAATATTTTATATTGACATCTACCATAGGAGGAATTACTAATTATTCCTCCTGATCTACTATATTATAGCTGGTATTGTTTGCGTTGATGCTGTGTGTTCTTTCCTTCACCACTTAAAAAAGGCAGTTTTCCTAAGATGTGTCTGTGATAAGTTTTATATTATGTTTAAATTGAGAAGAAATGGATTTTATAATGTTTTATTGAAGTTGCAGTAAAGAGGCCTTCTGAAGTAATTCCTTTATTTCATATGAAGCTTTGATTCTTAATACATATTGGCATCTTTAACATTTAAAGATGCTATAAAGTAATGGTTTTCACAGTGCACTCCATGTTGCCTGGGAAGCACCCTAAAGAGCCTTTGTTGGATGGGATGTGAAGGAGGGACAAGGGCTGACTGAGTCTATGGGGCTTTAGGCCTTTACAAACCTCCATTAGAGCGTTGCCCTTTATAGTCCATTTTATATAGTGAGGTGTTATATAAAATTTCATTGGGAAAAAAGAATTCTTTTGCTAGTAAAAGGAAAGATTAAGCATGCTATACACTATAACTTTTCATAAACAATTCCATGAAGATAGAAACCTAATACTTTACCACCAAAAAGCCCAGGAAAGTGATGTTTTTTTTTTCCCCCTAACAATATTATTCTGCCTGTAATAATTCAGCTTTAATCCCTTGACTTCAAGACTTAATAGAATTGAAGAAAATCTAGAAATTGTCAATTTAAAGGATCAGGGGAGTGAAGAGGTTTTTAAGATTGACCAAAACAATCATAGAACAAACATAATATCATGTTTGCTAATGATAAGGGTGTTAATAGCTGTTTCATAAAATTTTAGATCTGAAGAAGCCCAATAGATTAACCTTGCATATTGTCTTCATTTTATAAAAAAAAAAAAAAAGAAGAACTTGAACTCCAGAGAAAGTGACTAATGAGAATGAAGTCTGTCTTTTCTGATTCCCCTAGAGCCGTGCCTCTTAGAAATTGCTAATTGTCTATAGCAATTTAACCAAGACTGAGAACATATAAAAAAAGCACTTAGAAAAGATAAATGTAACCAGAAGCTTCCAGAATTGTCCATTTAAGAGAGCTTTTCAGAAGAAACTTAAACAACCTTCCACCAAAGAATTGGGGACAAGTGATCCACGACTTATGGTACTGCTTATGTGTATCTTTTTCGCTTGAAGTGATGCTCAATATGTAAGATATACCAGACAACCTGGTCTTTCCTACACACATAACCATCAAACTGTATCTTAGTCTTTACGTTTTTTTTTTTTTTTATATCTCTCTCTACTTGGCTGCTTGGCTGGCATTTCATTTGTGTCAAAACCGAATTCTTGATACCCCCAAACTTCCTGATCTTTTTTATTTCCTTATCTCTTATTTTGTCATTCTTCTAAGTCATTCGGGCTGAACTTCTGGATTCTACTTTATCTCTTTCCCCGTTTGCCCCCACATTTATTGTTTGTCCAACGCCTATCATTTAACCTTTTCCATTTCATTCTCATTACTACCACTGTGTTTTATGTCCTTTTTTCTTTCTAAAAATTCTCAGACCTTTGGACCAAAGGTTTATACTGATGAAAAATTATTGAGAATTCCAAAGAGCTTTTGTTTATATGTGTTACATCTATTTTTATTTAATGTATTCAAAATTAGAACTGTAAAAATTCAGTTCCTTTAAAAATCATAAACCATATGTTAAATAACATTTTTAATAAAAATGTAACTATTTTACAAAACAAAATTAAGATTGGGATCATTTTATATTTTTATATATAAAAAACATGTAATGGTATTTCAGGTTTAGGTCTTTGCTGTCTGGGTTAGTAGAGGACTCCTAGATTCTCCTAGCTGCTTCTGCATTCAGTCTGTTGCAGTGTCACTTGTCATATAGTATCTGGGAACTTGAGAGACTGAGATAGAAAATGGCAAATGACAAGTTATGAAAATGGTTTTGATCTCACTAACTCCTGAAAGGTTGAGAACATGGTTAAGAACCACTTCTTTAGTCCCTTAGCTGCTACCCCTTTTTCCATCTGCCTGGTCCAATCCATTAAACTTGTTAATTCCCAAACTAATAGCCCAAAAGCATACATAGGTCTTGTTTGTGCTTTGAAAACTTAAAACTTAACTCCCTCTACACTTTGAGTAAGTTCATATTATCTCGGTTTGGCCTTCAAGTGATTTTTTTCCCCCCATCTCTACATGTGGTGGTAGAGCCAAACTTAACCTGGTATTTCTCCCAAATAGATTTTGCTTTGTTCATGCAGATTCTCTGCCTAAATATTTCTTTCTCTTCACCTACTGAAATTCTCTTTATCCATGGTTAAGGCAACCCAAATTCTATTTACTTCATCAACTTTTTCCTGTTGTTTTTTTTTTTTCTCCCCATAGCTTCTCAAAAGAAAAAAACAGTAGTATACACGGATCGACTGTGTCCCCATTTCCTTTTAACACTTTATGCCTTATAGGGTACTTGTCATATTCTGCCATTACTTCTGTTTTCCTATTAGTCTTTATCTTTCACTAAATTACTTATACTTTGAAGGCACAGACTAAGCATTCCTTACTTTCTTTTATGTGTTTTATTTAAAATCTTGAACCATAACACAGATAAGTGCAAAAGACAAAAGTATTCAGCTCAGTGATTTACCAGTAAGTCAAGAAATGGACCATTAACAGCACCTGAAAAGAGATACTGGATTTTATTTGCTTATAATTGAGGATTTTTGCTTCTATAATTCATGAGAGATACTGGTCTGTGGTTTTCTTTTGTTCTTTTTTTGGCTTTAGAATCAGTGTAATAATGGCCTCATAGAATGGGTTGAGTATTCCTCCTCTTTTCTGGAACTGTTTATAAATAATTGGTTATTTCTTATTTAAATGTTTGCTAGCATTAACAACTGAAGCCATTTGGATGTGGGCTTTTCTTTGTGTGAAAACATTCAGTGTCTATTTCTGTACAGGTTGCAGTCTTACTGAGATTTTTTTAAATATCTTCTTGAGACAGTTTCAATATGTTTCTAGGACTTTATCTAAATTGTCTAGTTCGTTGGCCTAAAGTTCTTCACAGTATTTCTAATCCTTTTAATCTCTGTAAGATTGGTGTTGAGGTCTCCACTTTCATTCTGGATTTTGGTTCTGTGTTTTTTTTTTCCCTGATCATATTAATTTTGTTGATCTATTCAAAGAATCAACTTTGGGGTTCATTGATTTTTTTCCCCTATTTTTTTACCATTGGTTTTAACCCTAATCTTCATTATTTCCTTTTTTCTGCTTGCTTTAGCTTTTACTGTTCTTTTTCTAGATGTTTAAGCCTAGATTACTGATTTAAGAGCTTTTTTCCAAATATAGGCATTTAAAGCTATAAATTTACCATTTAGCACTGCTTTACCTGCATTCCATAAATTTTTATATGTTGTGTTTTCATTTTCATTCAGTTCAAAATATTTTTTAATTTCCTTTTGATTACTTTTTTGAACCATGGATTATTTAAAGGTATATTGTTTAATTTCAAAATATTTGGGAATTTCTCTAAGTATCCTTTTGTTGTTTGTTTTAATTTTGTTAAATTTGGAGAACCTATTTTGTATTGTTTCAATCCTTTTAAATTGATATATTTTATCATCTTACATATGTAGAATCTTAGAGATTATTCCATGTGTTCATAAGAAGAATATGACTGAATTGACATCATCTTATGAAATAGCAGCTTATAGAATTTTGTTTTCTGTGTTGAGAGCAGAAATTGTTACCTAAATAAAGGACAAGAATAGAGGCTGAAGATCAAAAGGTATGGATTGTGCTGGATATCATCTATTTGCACTTCAGATCCATTCTCTATCCTTCTCACCACTATCCTGTCTCATGAGGCTGAACTCTAGAACTTTATCAACTAGCTCATTTTCCTTCTGGCTTCT